GAAGATACCTCTAAGTATGCACGAAGACAGTACAGCGGCAGTATCGACCGACGCGCAGCATGTCTGAGTGCATACTTTGAAGTATCTTCGTAATAACCTTATTATTATACATCTTATCCTACCAAGAATACATCATGGGAATGCCGAAATCTAAAAAGTTTAGAACAGAATCAGCGAACTGCTTTGTATGGAGTCCGGTCAAACCCTAGTGGCAGCCATGTTTGTTTTTATTATTAGAGGACGCTTACGCGCGTAATCATTCCATATTCGGAATTCGCATTTCCTAATATGGTAGGATGAAAATACCCCGTAAAATACCGTAAAATTACGGCACGCTGTAACCTATGGCGTTACGGTGACAGATATATAATAATGAAGAGTATGACGAATTACTAAACGAGTATTTTTAGGCTAATAGCTAATTTTGATTGATTGTTGTGTCACCCGCTAAAACGAACATGCCTGGTTCTGATCATTGTAGCACATGGTAAAAATAGAATCGTGTTAAAATGTTCGCTCTTAATCATAGTTAAAAACAATATACTAATAACCAGATGTTTCGTAAGCTGAAATGCGCAGCTCTATGGATACATTTAACGTAAAATGTTTAAATACCACAACGAAAAATTGCATTACTAACTTAATTATGCGCAAATATACAATTGCATACATATATATTACAAACATGATGCAATGCGCGCCTTAATATTGTTCATAGTTGTACAAAAAATATTGACTTGTGGCGTTTATTCAAAGCAACATAATGCAAATTGTGACGCCCCACAAACAGTAAAATTGTGTAATTTAAATATTTTCATAAATTGTTTGATTTGTTCAAATCAAACATTTGATTGATTATCAACGTATTTATTTATTTCTATTAATTTTCCACGGGAATGTACATAGAATATTGATGTTCCCACGAAAACAGAGAATCACTAGATGGCACATTCTAGATATCTGATGCGTCCGTGACACCCTAAAATGACGAATACTTGATCACGACCGAATTTTCGGAACTGTGACAATTAGCTACGGACATACTCTTGTGGTGCGTTTTTTCTGATGCAAATTTATTAAGAATAATTACTCACCCTGATATCATTGGGAAACAATTGACGCTAAGTATATCTCCTTTCATTAAACGTCTCGTAGTGACTGGATGATGAGCACTATCGGTATTTACTCCTGACTGAACCCATACCCATGCTGTTAAAAATAAAGTCAAGTCATGTTGAAAATGATCACAGCATAATGAATCCCTGAATATAGGACTAAAATATTATTAGGCTGAATACTTGAAACGGTAATTCTCCAGGTCACAGCGTAGATACTTACTGTTTCTCAACTCATCATGTGGAAATGTTTTGGCGATCTCCCTAACCATTGGTTCCGTACCAGCAAGAGCAATTTCGTATTCCATCACACCTTCCTTGATTGCGTCCACGCATGCCCAGGCACCAACCTCTGCAATACGAGCACCCTCTCGTGTCACAAACAGCTCTTCTGGGGATTTGATCAACCTCATCTTCATTGATGCCTCGCTGATATCGACAAGAGATCGACCGGTTAGAGATTTCTCCAGCTTCTTGAAGTTGTCAGCAGTGAGATGGTCAAACTCAACACCTATTGCACCTTTATACGGCTCCAGGACAGTTTCAACTGCATGGAAGAAGTTACCTGGCTGCCAGTCAGTGTATGCGATGTTTTCACCATGGGTGCGGCGCCACGGTTGACCGCCATCAACGGTGGCCGAAATGTTTATGGTCTTGTCCATGGTGACGACAAGACCATACGAACGGGCAAACGAGCAGTAGAGAAAATCACTGAAGTAGTTGATATTGTGATACGATGTTAACAAACATGCAGAAATATCATCCTTCTCCATGCGTTGTCGGAGGTTTGTTACTCGCCTGTTTATCTCAGCCTTCGAGAATGTTGTTTTCACCTGATTGATAGTACAGATGATTAGTTTAATATAATATGCATAGAAACAATTGGTGGTGGATTTAATGAAACAAAAAGAGCATACATTAATTAAATGTACAAGTTAACCCCAGTAAGCATACCTTCCAGAGCCAAGTAATCCAGAAACCATTGGAGTGTATGTTGCTTATCCAATGTAATCTCCTTACCACGTAGACTATGAGTGGAATTGAAACAATCGGCCAGCCTGAGACATCCACGGAAACATGTATGACACCGAATCAAATGTGTTGATATTGCCGAATTATGTTGTTTTATTTATCACATGAAATTTAAGTTTTAGATTGAATTCCGCAGTGCCATGATACTCATATCGAGAAATTAAAATATAGTAATATATTATTTTGAAATACAGTGTTCGATCGTATTGGAGAATTCTGGAAAGTTCATGACATGGTTTAAATATGTGCAAATTCTGAGGAATATATAATGAACGTTACTATGGCCAATTTTATCAATATTGTCACCGCCCCTATAATTTAATATATACGAGATCTCCGATATAGATTGCACACACAGGCATACATTATATATATACACCCATATATTGACACGGTGGTGAAACACATTACAGTTGTGAAATAATATCATTAACACACTAGTCCAAGATAACAACGGCATGTCCCTTACTAATACGTTCACAACATCGTTAATTAATTAATTCACTCACTTTACTACCATTTTTCAACTCCACCAGTCTGGGCCTTTGTCTGATGTCTTTCGGGTTCAACGAAGAGTCACTAGTTGCGGTGGACAAGCATCGTCTGTTTGTGGTAGTCGCGGAAGTGGCGAACCTTGGCAGTAATTTCCTGAAGGGTACTCTACGTACGACGAGACTAGACAGCGCTTTGAGCATCATGGTGCCTACAAAAACCAGTAATGTGCTGTTAATATGAGAAGTGTATACCACATCAATAGCTTCAAGTAATATAACACAGATAAGCCATATATATATGTACACAACGTCGACAGCTCTATGTACATTTCATGACATACCCCTGGGAGGTCAAAGATTAAATGGAACCTTTAAATGACCTTCAATGCAATGAATGCACAGAAACACAAATATACATACTATCAGATCTAAATATAATCTTAGTGATGGCAACACACGTGACTAGTGCGATCCTCGACATCAGTATGGATAAATCCGCTCCCCAGCAGATGAATGAACAATTTCCCGTGAGGAATAGTCTCGCCCATCTTGTTAACACATTCAAACGTGCATAAAGCCTGTAACCACAACATAACGTAAATGTACTCATGAAACCCACCCAAGGGTTAGGGGTTTTCACGAAGATTTTAATATTTGTTCATTAACAATAAACAGCCCGTCTACTAGACAAGGTAAGGGATCGGGTGAGGCAATGCAATGCACTAGGGCATTGGGTAATACGTTGCTAACCATACACAGCGAATAGCTAATATAACTCGTGCCGTGAATAACTCAGTTTTCGGGAGCAACCTTTTCAAATACTGATAACACAACTGTACATGATATTTGAACATTGCGCATTGAATTATGATAGTTTGTAGTACGTACGGTATCTCTGTATATTTGTATATATCACGCGGAGTGTCTAGATCACCACCTGATAGATTTATATTACAGAGCAGCAATTTTATATCTGCTTGGTATAAAACATTATAAGTTCAAATAAAAATGATAGCCTAACAACATGTACAAATATAAAAATATCTCAAATGTATCCCTCGAGCAGATTGTAATGTCAGACCTGATATGTAATGGGCATCGAAAACAACTCATTTTTTATGACAATTATGAAAATATATACATTGTTCTAAATAACGATGGGAATGAATGAAACAGCTAACATACAGGTGGATTTGGATCGAGAGAATATTTCTACAGCGCAGTGGTCCGAGTGTTTGTGATCCCACGAAATAATCCCTTTGTTGCATGTACCAGTAAAAATGCGGAAAAAATACGTATTCAAAATGGAAAACGCCCGGATGTTTTTGACGCTTATAATTAATTGCAAAGAACATGTTTCTTTAAAAAAAAAAAGAAAATTGTGCCAGGCGACAGTTCCGGGCATTAAATGTCACCGTTGTCTTTCTCGACTTTCTTTTCATGTGCAATTTGCAACAAAGGTTCCTCCAATGTCGTATTTGTTAGTGAATAAATCTAGGTCAGTGCAATTGCTTCAATTGTCTACCGATCACGAGTCCGAAGCAACAATCTATTAGCTGGTCAAATTTGGTGATAATAGCTTCTTGAAAATGCAGTAGTTTTAACGGCGCGTGTTGTATGGGATGCAACATTAGAGGATTGTGCAAAAGTGGTTCTTCACACACATCTTAATAGGTGGTTGGCCTATTTTTCCTAAAAGTTGGTAACGTAGACCAAACTTTTAGAACATCACAACAAAAAAAGGAATGTTGAAGGTATTTCTGAGAGGAGTAGTGATAAATATTTCTTTGTCGTAATGCAGGTTGTGTATCTGTTGGAGAAACAAACTGGTGAGTGTAAAACAAGGGTGATTCAGACCCGAGTATAGATATCTTTGTATGTATTGGAGACGGAAACAAGATATACGTGTTGACAGATTCACAATACCATGGCCGCCTTCTGCCACTGGTAAATATACAATCTCTTTACAGACCCAATGACGTCCGCGCCAAAAGAACTTAAACAATATTTCTTGGATGTGACTAATGAAAATTACAGGTGACCATAAACAGATAAATCTATGGAGAAACTTTGACACTATGATTGGTTTATTACCAGAGTGCCCCCTCTATATAACATGTTTGGTGCGTATTTTTTTCCACCTTTCCCGTTTTGATTCGACTTTTTCGAGCATTTCCTCCCAGTTCTTGTCAAAAATGATGAGCTGTTTCCAATGTAGGTGCCAATAATTTTCCCCGCATTATTCAAACTGATCATCGTCCGCATATACTGTAAGATGTACATGGTTTCCCCTGGCGTTATGTATTCTTAGACCATGCATTGTACTTTGTGTTCGTGTTTTGTATAAAAGTGGTTCAATAACTATTGAATATAATTGACCTGAGTTGTTAATTACGCACAAGACACTTTGTGCCAGAATAAATCAATGTTTTAAATAGGTAGCCATGATGAATATGATCAAAGGCTTGTTGTTGGTCTAATGACACGATTGCAAGTTCTTTGTTAATGTTAGCATATGAAGTGATGTCACGTACTAGGTTAATATTATCAAATATTTGTCGACCACGAATGCAGTAAGACTGGTTGGCGTGAATGGTGTCAGGAAGTAGAGACCCGAGTCTCAACGACAGAGCTTTTGAAGTCTGAACACAAAATACTAACGTTACGCCAATTTTTCAATAAATATTCATTGACATTTTTTGGAAGTAGAAAACACCCTAAACAAGTCATGACCAAGTAAAGGTCAGAAACGCTTGTAAAATTCTCCCGGCAGCCCATCAATGCAAGAAGTTTTTCCAATAGATATTTGTTTGACTGCCTTAGAGAGCTCATCAAATGATAGCGGAGAGTCACATTTTTCGTTAGAGATTTTTGTAAGCTGGGCAGGTCCTCTACCATTTGTTTCTGATATTCTACTGATACAGGGTCAGGCGAATACAGGTAGGTCTGAATAAAATTGCTTTGCCAGTTGGTGCATACTGCAAGATGAGTCCGTAAGAATGCCACATAGTTTTTCCAGTCGAGAAATTATCTTCTTTTCACCTTTATATTTTTCTATGTCGTCATTCTCATTGAGTATTTGATGGCGTGATCCTATCGCAGCCCTTTTCGTCTCTGATATGGTGAATCTTCCGAGTAATGATTTTTTCTCATTCAATTATTTTTCAAATATAGGGTTGTTGGTTATATCATTCTAGTTCAGCAATTTTATTTTTGAGTCAACGTTTGATGACACGGTAGTTTTTACCCAGATTTGTTATATATTGCTTGGTCAGCTCCTTAATTTAAATTTTTCCTATGTTCTATCATCTTTGAATGGAGCCGAAACTAGGCTTCTACTGTCTTCATAGCAACCAATAATCGTATAGTATATTACAATATATTTCGCCGTGTAAAAGGCTTAAATAAAAAGCCCTAAAAAAGTTCCGATTGCTAATATTTTTAAGTGGCAAGGATTGGTCGCTCAAATCGTTGGTATTGGTGACACGAGCGAGATTGTCCCGACGATGTATTCGTATATGTCCCTTTTTGTGGCATCTGTGACCTTGTCGGTAGGCAAATACATCCTGTAGGGGCAGTCGTCATATTTAACAATAAATACACCTTGAAGTTTAACTTGAACACACAGCATGTAAACCTGTCTCCGAAAAGACTTTAAATAACGTAGTTATGGTTTTTGCATCCCGGTGGGGGATAATACGCAAAGTGCTAACAATTCTACCATAGCGAGTCAATTCTTTTTCAAGAATGTCATTAGACATGAAGGGAGGAACTCTCGACAGTATTAGCTTAGTAGCTGGTTGAATTAGAGGCTCTACAAAAA